AAAACGTTGAATAGCACTAACTGAAAAAAATAATGCATTGCATTAACAGTGCTTGCATTTTAATGCCTTGTATTTCCAGGGCTTGCATTTTTAGGTCTTGAAATTTAACATAGTTGTTTATTTAAGTTGTGAATATTTCAATTAAAAATATTTCTCAAACATTTTCATTTCAGTAATTCCAGTAATTCATATTCACCTTCCAGAATTCACTTCCAAAATATTCAATCTGTTTAAAAATAAGGCAAATTTGTGGTTAAAATTCGACAGAAAATCCACCATTGCACATCCGGGAGTTGCAGGAATAGCAGTAGAGCACCGATGCATGATCTCCAGCTGCTGTCAGTCAAGCGGCTGTTGATGAAGACCAAAGCAACATGTGGATCAAGTCATTCATTCACAAAAACTGATCTGCAGAAATGGAGCAAGCAGTAAGTAGAAGTTATGATAATCAGGGCCAGTATAAACATGTGGAAACGCTGATTGTGTGTATGTTTAATTTAACATCTTCGCTGTTTCCCGTAGCTTACATGTAAGCAGCTTTCTCTACCACAAAGATTATAATGCTATTTTACCCAACACTGAAGCACAGAACTAACATTACATCTGAGGAAGACATATATTGCTTTCGGTTGCTTAGTTTCCGTAACTTTGTATGATGGCTTGTGTGACTCTGTGCTGTAATACTGGGGTTCCCCCTCATAGGTCACACTCCAGGATTCCCCAATGAGCCTAATGCGCCTCAGTGAACTAATACAGTGATATAAAAAAAGATGCTATTTTACATTTGATTATTTGGTTTTGTACCTGAACACCTACAAACTTGAAAAAACTTGAAAAAAATCATTGTTTAATTTGTATCTTTGTTCTATTTATTTATTTCAATCATGACAACTCTCGGAACATTTTTGCATGGTAATGGATATGACAATGTTAATGCATTTGGTCTTGGCGGAACAGATCTGCTACGCTGCTGCTGAATTGCTGCTGCTGTTGGTTATTGCTGTAGTTGTAGATTGTTGCTGCAAGCAAGTACAGGAACTTGCTACTGCCAATGCATATGGCGATACGGTGCCGTGAGT